AGAGGAAAGTTCATAGCACTAAGTGCCCACTTAAAGAAAACAGAGAAGGCACACATTGGAGACTTAACAGCCCACCTGAAAGCTCTAGAAAAAAAAGAAGCAGACTCACCTAGGAGGAGTAGAAGACTGGAAATAATCAAACTGAGGGCTGAAATCAACAAAATAGAAAAACAGAAAACAATCCAAAGAATCAATGAAACAAAAAGCTGGTTCCTGGAGAAAATCAACTGCTTTGTTAATATAATTAAGCTTTTAAATTCTAAGAGCATTTCCTTTGTCTATTATGATTAACTTAGAAATAGTTAATTGATTATTCTAAACTCAATCAAGAAAAGGAGGGAAATGCCACAAGCAGACGCTGTGAATCAGAAGTGGCCTATAAAAACAAAATCAGAAATTGCAAAACAAATTGTAATACTTTAAGTTCTAAATATTTAATTTATGCCATTATATTTGGGAATTATTTTGTATTTTTATTTAAGAGATTTGTTGCTCTTAACATGAGTAGACGGGGGTTTTGCAAGCTTTCTATTTACAATGCAGTATTTTTGTAAGAGACATGAAGTATGCCAATTTTCTTCTGGCTCTCGGAAGACATTTTTTAGTTTGAGCTTTAAATCCTGGCAAAGGAATAGAAGAATTTATGTGCACCATGAGGTATGAACAGATGTGTTAACTGGATTCTGAAATCTTTTAAAAGATTTCATTTTTTAAGCAAATAGGCAATTTTTTGAGAGCAGACTGAGGTTCTGTGAAGTGTTAAGGACGACCGTGACTGTTTTCAACAGTGCACTTATACATGAAAAAACATTCAAAATGGAATCCTGAAGACTGAAATATGACATTCTTTTTATACCTTAACACTCATCTACTTTATTAAGACAAGATCATAAATCTGCCCAGAATTTTACATTCAAAACAAGGGCAAGGCATTCTAAGCTACTCCTAATTCATTCCTCTCAGAATTCAAACTGCACGCGCTGTTTTTTGGGAAATGATTCTTTTCTTTGCAGCCAATTGTCTTTCATTCCAGTGAAGGCAGCGTTTAGCGGAGATCTCTCTGGCCCTGCTCGCTACTCTCAGTAGAGCTCGGCTATAATGAAGTGGAACTCACTGCAGTTTGACTGGGGTGGGGAGAACTGCCTCCCTCCTTTAAAACAATTCACTGGGTTAGAATAACAACAAACAACAACACCAGCATTTAAGAAGGTGAAGGAAAGGACAGTGGTGTCTTGTGAGGAGAATTGTCACTGTCCCCGGAGTGCTGAGAGCACAGGTCAGCTTTTCCAGCCAGTTCTCAAAGAGGCGCATCAACTGTGAAGTCGGTCATAGAATTCCACGCTGCCAACTGCACTCCATGAAGCTGAGCAGATACAACAGCATTTTTGTGCAGAGACAGCTAAATGTCTTAGCGAGAAGCCAGGGGAGCCCCCAAGAAATGTGATTGCATTATTCCAGCCCTCAAATAAATGCTAAATATTATGCAACTTTGTTGTTCTTACCATCACCCCTCAAAGACCTTCTGAAGCATTCACAGTGACAGGTGGCAGAAGATGCATGCTGCCCCAAATCCCAAGGGTGATTTGCTAAAATGAACCAGCTTTGCCCCCAACAAGCCTTTCCTTTTACTCCTCGAAAACTGAAGGCAGAGCCCACGGTGTGGTGTCCAGAGGCCTGTCAGCATACGCTGCTCATGTTTGACACACCACCAGGAGGCGCACTTGAGGAAATTTTGATCTATTATATTTCGAACAGAAAATTATAGCACACTGCTCAGGGCAGTTCTCCATGATTTTCAGGGTATTTTCTGGTGTTATGCATGTGTGTGTTTGTGCGTGTGTGCACGTGTGTGTGTGTGTAACTGAGTCTCACTAAGCAGTACTAGCTGACCTTGAACTCATGACCTTCCTGCCTCAGCCTGCTAAATATTTGGGTTTAGAATGCACCTCCATGTTCTACTTAGCCACAGTTCCCTCAACCAAATTGCCTAGTTTTCTATGAAAATAGTGTAATTGCCTATGAAAAAGGATCATTTGAAAAAAATAAAAGTGCCAAGTTTTGCACCTCTTTGTCAATAAAGCACATGTAGTTAGAAAGGTTCTTAGGAAAAAGCTGAAAGGTGCATCGGCAACCAAAGGGCTGATTCACCACGTGTGGAGGATGGCTGTTTCCTTTATTTGAAGCTTGTTATTATTATCAAGTATATTATTATTTTCCCCCAAGTTAAGAATCACAGCTGGGGTCACATGCTGCTAGCTGTAGGTCACAGGCTCATGTCTGTTTTTTGAGGAAAGGGATTTCTAGCTTCTTGTAAAAAAAAAAAAAAAGCCAGGAGATGCAGAAAAATTGGGTCCATGTTGCTACTGAGCTCAAACAGCCAGAATTAGGAGGAAGACTTTGTGCATCTGAACAATGGGGCGCTCATTTTCTGGTCACTACAAACCTCTGCTCCACATTCATTCACACCACCCTTGGGGGCACTTGTGTGTGGGAATCCCGGAGAACACAATCAACGTAAGACAGCGACTATGACTCTATCAAGGTGGCTTTCTTCTCTCCGCCCGTTTAGTCTTCAGCTATCCCTTCGCAGGTTAAATTAGAGCATGCCTACATCCTGTCCCAGAAGTCTCTGGACACTAAGAATGTAAAAAAGGTTTGATAACTGACTCCTTAAGTAACAATGGTGAACATCTGCTAAAATTCCTAATTATAGCAATAGTTTGAGAACTGAGTTCTCAACTTTGTCATCTCTCTTAAATAAACTAGATACTTGAGAAATTAAAAGTCAGGCTAGAGACCAAGCCAAAGTCGAGCAGCGAAAAGCTGGTTTCAATAGAACTTCAGTACTTCCCTGTTTCTTTTAGGTCTAAGCTAATGGAGATGTTTACATTTATTAAGGAAGATGCATGGTCTTCAATGAGCTAACCCAAGGAAGGGTGGTATTGTTATTTCCAGTGTTCCATTGCTAGATATTACAGCTCAACATGAAGTAAGCATAAGTAAGGATATAACAGGTGCATGCACATCTGGTGGCATTTTTACAGTTGTCTTGTGTGAATGACATCCCACCATGGCCTTTACAAAAAGCAATGCTTACCTTGTTAATGGCCCCAAATCGCCCGAGTCTTGGCTTCCAGCGTCACTGGGAGTGCTCACTGATTTCGAAGAGGGAGACATAGGGGTTGGGACTAAATAATGAAAATAACAGGTATCCCATGTTAAAAAATGCAGCGGCTGCACTGGGGAAGAGCAGTGTCAGACAAATCAAAACAAATGGGCCCAAATGAAAGTGGTTGTATGGCCAGGAGAGATTGAGATGGGATAAGGAAAAAAAAGGAAAGAAAAGGAAGAAAGTCAAGTGAATTTTTCATATTTCGGAAAATGAAAGTCTGAAATGAATTTAGACAGAATTAACTTAGGGATTCCAAGGCCATGTGCACCTAACGAAGTAAAATGGAGAACCAATAGCTATCCAGATAGTTCAGCCAACTTACGTTCCTCTGGTAGGAACTAGCTAGACGATTCTAATTCTTCACTTTATTTTGTTAGTATAGATGTGACCTATTTAACATAGTAGTTGTCTGTAAAACTTTAAACACTATGATTTAGGGGAGCCTAAATAATTTTAAATGCCCAAGAAGGGCGAGAATCTGTTGAGGGTCTAATTTAGAGAGAAATGTATGGGTTCTTGATATGCAAACAACTTTGTGCTAAGACTAAGTGACAGAGAGAAAGGGTAAATGTTGAACCTGGTAATTTAAAAATCTCTTTCAAAACAAAGGAAAATGCCAGGCTGCTTTATTTTACATTTAATGAGTGGTTTCATGTCAGTCTACTTTCTGCTTCATCTGGGACTGTTTTCCCGTTGTCCCGGCAGCCCCAAGCACACAGCGCAGAGGTAACCTGCCAGGCTGAGGGTGGGAGAAGGATGCTCAAAGGCTCAGGCCGGCTGACACTCTGAGCAAAGAAAATGAAGGGAAAGCGAAACAAAACTAAGGAAATGGAAATGCACTTTCTCTCTCCAGCCTTCACATCAAGCCAAATACCCTTCAGCCGTTGGCTGCACCCAATAGGCAGATGGCTCCAGGCCAGCCAATTTGCAGATTCATATCACACATGCCAAGGAAGGCATGTGCAGGAAGAAGCTGCAGTGCACGCTTATAGCATCCCATTTGGTTTCAATCATATGCAATTTCCTTCTATTTATTTAATAGGGTAAAGGGCTTAACAAGTTTTTTTTTTCTTTCTTAAAATCCTGCACCACAGTGTCAGGACTGTTAAAAAGCTGGGCATTTTTCTGTGACTGTTCAATTAATTCCTTGATTACCCTTCATGCTAAGGCAGAGGGCAAGCTGGAGAGATGGATTAAAAATTATCCCATTGGAAGGAATTCATGGGTAGCTGAGGACATAGTTATGGACTGGGGATACTCAAGTATTTTGTTTTTAAAGTTTAATCATTCAGCTTTATGCAGGGTAAGGCACAATAGGATATACGATTACTGTGTTTAATAAGTGTTGACATAGCAACCACATTCCAAAGACTATTTTGAGGCAAAAATATAATTAATCAATGGATGTCTAATTTACATCACATGTCAGATAAATACAAAGAAGCTTGCCAACTTCTCACAGAAGAACTACCAGCCAAATCCCCTATAGAGTCCATCTTACATGACAAGGAGCTAAACAAAATCTAGTTTTATGAGGGCTTATTATAGCAGCAGAAATTTAATTTTACATATTCCAACTGAGATAGAATAAAATTCTTTTCAGAAGTACTTTAGTTTCATGTTTATGTATTAACATAATTATGTATTTATATAACTACTTTCAGATGGATTTTTTTATTTACACTGATAGGAGTAATTTCTTTACATGGGTAATTTTTTCTTAGTTTAATTAACTATGAGAATAAAAGGAATTTTATTTTAATGTAGAAGCAAAGAAAGGAATTAAAAAATAAAGCATTTAAAACAGCCCTGATAAAGTGTTTATTCCTAGTCATCATTTAGATGGTTTTGTTCATTAATGCATTGGATATTATGTAGTTTTACAGACACCCTCAGATTATTTTTAGATGTATGAAAAATAAATAATTGTAAAAAAACACATGAAAGATACACAAACGAGTGGCAGAATAAGCTCATGCGAGTTACTTTTAACAAATAAAACAAATTATTCAGTACCCAAACCTCAGTGATATAAAGACTTTATGGACAATCAGCTAGAAATGAATGAGCTGGAGGAGGGTGTTCTGGTGAAAATGCCAATAACAATGAAATCAAGATGCGCATGCCATATCAATTTAAACTTGTAGATTAGCTGCTAATTTTAAGGTTTTCTGAAAATTTCCCACTGCAATTTACTGTTTTTATCATGTAATAAGTCTATGTATGTAGTGTTCACAGTATGTATAAGCGGATTAACATTATCTATATAGGCAAGGAGAGGTTGGGATTCAGCAGTAGAAAGAAAGAGCAATTTGTTAATGTTTAAAACTCCCAAGATGTCTTGTATATATTCACTGAACAAGTATACATTAATCTGCTGGTGACACAAAGGGAAATTATGAGCATGACGTCAGCAGCAGCTGGTCATGACTCTAAGCATCATTCCTGTCTCCTTCCAGCCCTCTCAGTTCTAAATCATACATGCCACTAGGACAATAAATCCGAGACTTTTTAGACATAGAAAACAATAATGAAGCTAATACTTAAAAGCACAATAATGCTGGGCATGGTCTATCTACGCAAATCCTGCTCGAGGGGTAGTAAAACAAGAAGGGCAAAATACCTAGCGGGGGCTCCGGCGATATGCCAATGCTTTGCAGCAAGGCTTCTGTCTCTCGGCGTTTGCGATCCAGATCGGAGTCGTCTTGAACGGGCTCTTTCTTCTGTTGCATATCTGCCTAAAAGATTTAATGACAGCAAGGAAAGTTAGTGATGTAACTCAATGCAACTTTTCCTCACTGAAGTGGATATGTGCCCTAAGTCATGACCAGATCTCTACATAGATATAGCCATGAGTGGAGAATAAAAACCACTGTGGCCGCTCATTAGTAATCGACAGGGGCTCCCTTTCTTGGTCAAAGTTCACCTCATCTCTATTACCAGTTATGAAAGTTTCTCAGAATGGTGAAATGGTTTAGCAGGTTACGGCACCTGAAGCCAAGTCTGGCTACCCAAGATTAAGTTCCAGGACCTGTATGGTGGAAAAAGAACCCATTAGTGTGCCAGGCAGTGGTGGTTCACATCTTTAATCCCAACCTTAGGGAGGCAGAAGCAGGTAGATCTCTGAGTTCAAGGTCAGCCTGGTCTATAGAGTGAGTTCAAGGACAGTTAAGGCTACAAAGAAAAATCCTGTCTTGAAAAAAAAAGAGAATCTACTTGAGTGTCATACAAAACACATTCATGCAAAATAAAATGTAATAACTGGAAATAAAACAAGAAACTTTTAGAGTATTAGAATCAAGGAAACCTATTTCTGACCAGTATTATTTTAAAAGTAAATCTGGTCTGTTTTAGCCTCTTTGTTCCTTCTGGAACATCTTGGTCAGCACCTCTTAGTAATACTCACATTCCAGAAATAGAAACATCTGGACTCTAGCTGGAAAGTAAAAAGTAAGGCTCCTTATAGAAACTTGTAAGTGGTGGCCCTTGCCTTTAATCCCTGCACTCAGGAGGGAGAGGCCGGTAGATCACTGTTCAAGGCCAGCCTGGTCTAAAGAGCTACTTTCAGGACAGCTAGGGCTACACAGAGAAACCCTGTCTCAAAAAACAAACAAAAAATACTGTCTGTATTGGTAGTAGAAGCTAAACATGGTGGAACCCAGGCTAAAGTCTATATTAAGGCAGTGCAGCCTGGCAATAAATTATTTCTGTAGGTCTTTTTTCCCCCCTTTTCTTTCCTTCCGTCTTTTTTCTTTCCTTCCTTTCTTTTTTCTTTCTCTTTTCTTTTTTCTCTTTTCTCTTTTCTTCCTTCCTTTCTGTTTTCTTTCTTTCGTTCTTTTTCTACTAGGTTCTGGTTTTCTCTGATTTTCACAGGATTCATTAACACATTAACTCAAACAAGAAAACAACTTTCAAGGAAAACATAGTACAAAACAAACAACAAACAAACAAAAACCCCACATATGAGTTCTTGATATGGGATGGCCCTCTGTGTGCTCTGAACATGTTTATTACCATGGTTAATAAAGAAGCTGATTTGGTCAACAGCCAGCAAAATAGAAACCAGGCAGAGAATCTGGAGATGTAGGGAGAAAAAGGGTGGAGTCAGGAGACACCAGCAGCCACCAGAGGAGTAAGAGGCCAGAGCATTACTGGTAAGCCATGGGGCACATGGCGATACACAGATTATTAGAAATGGGTTAATTTAAATGTAGAACTAGCCAGTAAGAAGTCTGAGCCATCAGTCAAACAGTTTGTAATTAATATTAAGCCACAAAGTTGCTATTTGGGAACGGCTGGTGGGAGAGAAATTTCTACTTACAAATTCCTTTCAAAAATTGTATCTAAAAAACAGCACAAGAGAGCCTCAAATCAGAATCCTATGCCTAGTTTGTGATTTTATAGGATTGTGACAAACTAAAATGGTAGCTAAAAAAGACCAAGGGACTTGAGTATCTGTTATCTCTCATCCTTCCTGTTAGTTCTCCTTTCATTCCACCCTCCTATTCCTTACTCCATTTCACTGTTTGTGTTCCCTTATTCCCTTTATACCACTGCATTCTGTCTCCCCTGCTTTGAAACTCCCGACCCCCATGGCTTCTTATTAATTTCTTGACCCCTATGGGCATTCCAAATGAAACACACATATACAAAGATTCAGACCATGCAACCACTTGTGTTTTCTGGGTCTGCGTTACCTTACACATAATGGTTGCTTCCAACACCATGTATGTACCTGATGATTTCATAGTTCCTTTTTCTTAACAGCTGAATCATTTTCCTTTGTGCAAACAAACCTAATTTTTATTATCCGTTCATCAATTGATAGACTTCTAAGATGTTTTGATTTCCTGGCTATTGTGAATAGCATAGCAATGAACATGGATAAAGAAATGTCTCTATAGTAGGACACAGAGCTTTGGGGACATATGTCCAAGAATGGTATAGCCATGTCCTGTGGGAGATCTACTTCTAGTTTTCTGCAGAAGCTCCACACTGATCTCTCCTTCCAAGGCTAAGAGATCCCTGAAGAAGAAAGGGTAGAAAGCTACAGAAGTAATGAATGACTACTTTGAAACTGTGTTTCCCAGATGCACCAGAGACATTTCGAGTATGAATTCACAGTGGCTATGACAACATTCACAGATGTGGACAAGCTCAAGCAAATAAAACCCCAGTATGGGGTTGGGGAGAAAGCACACCCCTGGCTGAGGAGCTATTGCAACTGATAGCTGCCAGGAAAGAATCCCAGGATGGCATGCAGACCACACTCCAGTGGATGGCCACACACCAAGGAAATATAGGCCTCAAAAATTAGAGTTAATGCATTTCAAAGAAGGGGACATGGGTCTTGGAAGAGGGGTGAAGATGATAAAAATACATTGTATGGAATTCTTAAGTCCAACTGAGTCATGACATCTGTAAGTTCTCTTATTTCTCTGTTAAGTTTCTGTCTGGTTGACCTGTCCACTGGCAAAAGTGGGGTACTGAAGTCTCCTACTATTAGTATGTGGGGTTTGCTGTGCAATTTTAGCTTTAGTCATCTTTCTTTTACATATGTGGGTACTCTTGTATTTGGGGCATAGATGTTCAGTGTTGAGACTTTATCTTGATTGTTCCTGTGATGAGTATGAAGTGTCCTCCATCTATTCTAATTGATTTTAGTTTGAAGTCTATTTTGTTAGATATTGGGATAGCTACACTCACTTGTTTCTTCAGTCTGTTTGATTGAAAATTTTTTTTGAGGCCTGTACTCTGAGGTAATGCCTGTCTTTGAGGTTGAGGTGTGTTTCTTTTATAAAGCAGAAGGATAAATCTTGCTTTTGGAACAATTCTCTTAAGCTGTGTCTTTTTGTGAATGAATTGAGTCTATTGATATTAAGAGATATTAATGACCAGTGATTGTTAATTCCTGTTATTTTTTGGTGGTAGTGTTTGTGTGATTCCCTTATTTGGGGTTTGCTGGTATGAGGTTCTCTGTTGCCTGTGTTTTTGTGGGTGCAGTTAGTTTCCTTGTGTTGGAGTTATCCTCCTAGTACTTTCTATATGGCTGAATTTCTGGATAGGTATTGTTTAAATCTGGTTGTATCATGGAATATATTTTTTTCTTCATCAATGGTGATTGAAAGTTTTGCTGAGTATAGTAGTCTGGGCTTGCATCCATGGTCTCCTAGTGTCTGCAGCAATCTGTCCAGGACCTTCTGGCTTTCATGGTTTCCATTGAGAAGTTGGGTGTTATTCTGATTGGTCTGTCTTTCTATGTTACTTGACCTTTTTCCTTTGCCACTCTTAATTCTGTATGTTTTGCATTTTGATTATTATATGGCTAGGGGACTTTATTTTTTTTTGGTCCAGTCTATTTGATTTTCTGTAAGCTTCTTGTACCTTCATATAGATATCCTTCTTTAGGTTAGGAAAGTTTTATTCTATGATTTTGTTGAATATATTTTTGTGCCTTTAAGCTGATATTCTTCTTCTTAGGTTTGGTCTTTTCATGGTGTCTTAGATTTCCTGGATGCTTTGTGTTAAAAATTTGTTGCATTTAATATTTTCCTTGACCAGTGAATCTATTTCCTCTACAGTATCTTCAACACCTGAAATTTTCTCTTCCATCTATTGTATTCTGTTGGTTATGTTTGCCTCTGTAGTTCCCATTCATTTGCCCAGATTTTCCATATACAGAATTCGCTGGGTTTGTGTTTTCTTTATTGCTTCTATTTCAGTCTTCAAGTCTTGAACTGTTTGAACTGTTTGCTTCACCTGTTTATTGTTTTTTCTTGGTTTTATTTGAGTGATTTATTAATTTCTTCCAATTTTTTGTTTGTCTTTCCTCCATTCCTTTAAGAGAATTTTTCATTTTCTTTTTAAAGGTCTCTATCATTCTCACAAAATTAAGTTTAAAATCATGCTCTTCTGCTTTTTCTGGATTAGGATGAACAAGTCTTCTTGTTTTATGACCACTGGGTACTGGTGTTATAATGTCGCTTTTTAGGTTGTTGGATGAATTCTTCCATTGGTGGCTACCCATCTCTTCCTTCAGTTAGTGCCAGCAGGGTCTTTGTATTTTGGTCCAATCCTTGCAGTGGCTGTCTGTGCCTTTGGGAACTGTTCTTGGTCTGCCCTGTACTGTCACTGTCTGTGTCTCAAGGGACCACTGAGGTCCCTCTTGGTCCTCTGTCTTGGCCCACTCTCTTGGTTCACTTTCTCTGTCCACTTGGTGCAGTCACAGCTTGTGCTCCAGAGTTCTTCTGAGGTTGCCTGGGGAGGAGTGGGATAGGAGATTTTGGGAGTAGAGTAGGACTTGTAGCTTGCAGGGTTCAATGGATGGTATGGGGGTGTTCGAACAGCCTACATGTAGGAACCTTGACTGCTGGCTGGCTGGAGAAGCTAAGGCAGGTGGAAGAGGGGCCCATTGGTTTGCCTTGGTATGGAGGGGCTAGAGAGTAGGGTATCCTGCCAGGTAGATGGTCAGTTACCTCTTGGTCCTCTTTGTGTAGTGTATGGAATCCTTAAGTAATGAATTAAATGCTATAAAAAGGACAACGAAGGGAGGTATTCTGAGTTGGATTGTAGTATTTGCCCAATTCTGAACCAGAACACTAATGTGTCCCTATTTCACAGGCAACGTTCCACAGAAGTGAAGGTATCTTGAAGTTCACCATGCCAACTCTTTTATTAATTATCAGATATCCCTTATTTCCCATGAGCATTGGGCATCTTAGCAGGTAAATTAACTCAAAGAGCATTATTAATTTCATGCGCTTGAGGCAGAAGAGAATTCAGGGCAGTTTGGCTTGCCCCAGACAGTATGCTACAACCCAATTATGAGACAAGAGTGTATTTTTATGTGTCTCTGGGCTCAGTGTTTCTGTTCTTATTCACCTTGGCCTTAAAGTGCACTTTTGGTTTTGCAATCTGTTTGTCATCAGGGAGAGAACTGTCATTGGAATCTAAACAGAGCTGAAGAGAGTCGGAGACGATTTCAGCCTTCTCATGTCACTCCACACTCTTAAAAGACAATTCTGTCTCTGCAAAGACATTAAAATGCACATTCCTTTCCAACTGTACTATTTAAACAACGAAGCAGATTCCTATGTTAATGTGTACAACAAGCCAAGACAGAGCCGAGAAAAAAAGAATGAGGATCAGTATCCACATTCACTTTTCATATCGTGAAAAAGAAGGATGTGAGGGAAAGGGGAGAGATGCAAGAAAATGGAACTGCTACAGGGGCTAGTGAAATGCAGATAAAAATAGCTAAAACAAAATTAAAACTGTCTTAATATTGAAATGTTGACTAGCGTGGTATTTCAGAGGTGTCCTTAGCCTCGCCTGGGCTTTCAGGCAACACAATGGTTCTGCTCACCCCAAGGTGATCATACCTGGATCACTTCCCGAGGTAAAGTGTCTAATCAAAACGTGTTTGATGAATGGCTTTGGTGGCACTACTTTATGGTCATAGACTCTTAGCTGAATGTATCTTTCAGGTTAATTTCTCTCAGCCGCATCGCATTTTGAGACCTCTTCCTCCACAACACTGCTGTGAAAACAAGAGATTCAGGAGTCTAGAGCTTCAGAGCTCTTGAAGCTATTCCTGTCAACAAATATGTGTTTCAGGAAGACAGCATCCATGGAAACGAGACACAAGTGGAGCCTTCGCAGAGCAGATGAAACGACCTGCCCAACCCTCCCTTTTAAATGAACTTGGGCATAGTAGACCAAAGTTTTTGTCATAGCATCCTGTGTTGAAAGGTACAGGTGTGGTTTGGAGTTAGAGATTTATTCTAATTTTAAATGGTAGGCATTCAGGAGCTATAGCAGAAGTCAAAATGTGTATCAAAATTGGCAGCACACATTGTACCAAAATGATATCTCCCAGTTTCCACTTCTTCAAGCACAGAAGTGTGCGCAACTGGCTGTGTCCGCAGATGACCGTGTAAACATGGGTTGAGCATCCCCAATCCGAGATGCAAAAGCTTATAAGTTTCAACATGATCCCAGAATGCAGAATTCCCCACTATAAAATTTTGTTTCATAAAAACTATTATTTTAAACATTTTCTCAAATATCTTTAGTTTATGTATACAGTGTTTGTGAAACATACATGTACAGGAATTTCATGCACAAACTCAGGTCTCCAAACACATTCCAACTTGGGTATGTGCAAATATTTCCAAATCTTAAAAATAAAACTCAAAGTAGGAAATATTTTTGGTCTGAAGCATTTCAGATAAGGGATTATTTAAACTATAGGCTAATTTGCCTGGAACGTGGCTTTAGAGAAAAAAGAAATGGGGGAAAAAGAGCTCTGTTCTATTTCTCCACACCGTGGTACTTGTAGATTGTGGTACAGAAAGGGCCCCAGGTTCTGAGTTAGAGCTAGGAGGCTGGGGACAGGATCCTCCTGAGAGCTAGAGATGAGAGGGAGCTATTCTTGTACATCGAGGTCATTTCTTCATTTGAAAAAGATCGGAATAAATTGGTTTCCGATTTCTTCCACACATAAAATAGCGTAACCTCTAGGCTGGGAACGGCTCCACAGCTAAGAGAGCACTTACTGTGTTTGCAGAGGGTCTGAGTTTGGTTCCCAGTACCCACATCCAAAGGCTCACAAACACCTGTAACTCCAGCTCCAGAGGGGATTCTATACCTCTGGCATCTGTAGGAAGCTGGTCTCAAAGGCACTTACACACACACACACACACACTTACACAGACCTTTAAAAAACACTAATACACCCTTCATTTAGTAGCTGATTATCTTAAGTTCGGTTATGGGGCCTCACACAGTGGAAGAGGTGAAAGGGCGCCACACACTTGCAGTAGCACACCAACACCCCACTCTCATTTGCTCATTAAATACACACAGAAGTGGTTTTAGGTTGTTTGTTTTAGCCATGCTTAAATGGCACAAAGGAAAGAGTCTCGCGAGGGATGCTAGATTGTGTAGAGAGGAGATTTAAAGCCAGAGCAGACCTTGAATACAATCTAGCCTGTGCGTCCCCAAGTTGAGCCCTGATTTGAATCTTCTCAGAGGAGCTGAGCATGGAAGTGTTCAATATGAACTGGCCTGTGACTTTGAGCTGCATTGTCAGTGAGTCCTTCTGTAACCTGAATTCCAGAGGCACATGGAGGCCTGAGGCATGCAGAAGCTCCTGGGCACTCTGTTTGTTATGCAGAGGGAGAGACCTTTGTTCCTCAAAACTGCTAAATATACCAAGAAGAAAAAAAAAATAAAAAAAAGAAATCTAGCTTCCATATGTTTGGTTGGCCCGCGAATCTCCCCAAATGTGTAAAATGAAAAAGATAGAGTAGACAGCCAAATTTGAAGCCAGATTTCTATATCCCATTGCACTTCATAGTCATTCTGTGCAATTCAAGTTGGATATTAGGATGTCAGTTTCAAAGGAAACCCATTATTAGCACAAAATGGCAGGTGCTTTAAAGACACAGTAGCTGTTGACGTTCAGAAGAAGGGAAGTGTAATCACATAATGCTCACTGTGGGCCTCCCACGGAAATGAATAGCCACTCCTCGTCAGTTCTCACCTTGGGTTCACCCACAGCCGGAACACAGAACAGCGAAGGTCTCAGGGACAGCCGTTATGGAGCTACAAGGACAAACACGTTACCCCACCAGCCAGCATGGAAGGCCCAAGGAGCTGGGAGGAGCCAGAAGGCTAGACTACAAGTGCAACCATTGGGAAATAATAAACCTGGACAATCTGCTGCTTTACTCTCTTAAACTTGTAGACAGAAAGAACATTTATTTAGATCACGAGGCATCAAAACCCCTTTTCGTCCCTGAACAAAACAATTGCAGTGTGCGGAGCAGCCCGTCTCACGCTTCCTTTCCATTCACAAACATCTTTGTCATCTTGTTTCTGTGCATCTAATGGGCTATTTTAATTGTTTTTTAATTGAGCTATATATTTTTCTCCACTTCTCTCCCTCCCGCTCCCCTCCTCTTCTGCCCTCTCCCATGATCCCCACGCTCCCAGTGTACTCAGGAGCTCTTGTCTTTTTCTACTTTCCGTGTAGATTAGATCCATGTATGTCTCTCTTAGGGTCCTCATTGTTGTCGTCTATTGAGAGTTCTCTCGTTAGGTCTGTCCTCCATTTTTTTATTGGATTATTTGTTCTTTTGATGACTGATTTCTTGAGTTTTTTGTATATTTTAGAGATCAGTCCTCTGTCCAGTGTGGGGTTGGTGATGATCTTTTCTAATGGGTTATTTTTACATGGACAAATTGAAGATTAAAACATTTCCCACTCCTTGATTGAGATGGTAGAAGAGAAATGACAGGCTTGGAATTTGGGGTCAAGAGTCTGACCACTGAGTTTACCAGGAGAAAAGCGATCTTACCTCTTGGTCCTTGCTATTTGCTGATATAAACAAGAAAACTCTGGGTGCCAGCAGAAAACGCCCTCCTGCTGCAACACCTAACAGTGTGCTCTGTCTTATCCACCTTCCTTCCTTCGGGTTCCTACTTAACTAAGTTGAGGATTTATTGTGGTGGCGGGGGTGGGGGCTGGGGTGTGTGTGTTTGAGACCAGGTTTCTCTGAAGCTTTGGAGTCTGTCCTGAAACTAGCTCTTGTGGACCAGGCTAGCGTCAATCACACAGAGATCCACCTGCCTCGGCTTCCAGAGTGCTGGGATTAAACACGTGCGCCACCAGTGCTCGGCTATGCTGAGGATTCTTGTTGACCATGGGAAACACACACTATGTTGGAATCACTGGGAATCCATTGGCATTGTGTTCTATTTTGCTTTCTAAAATGTTCGTACTTTTAGTTTTTGCATAAATAAATAATAAATAAATATAAATTATTTATATTTATCATCCCTCCTCTTCCTTCCTTCCTCTCCCCCCTCTTCCTTCTTAACATTAACACAGGTATGAACTACACCGTAAATTATAGGAAATGGGAGGGAAGCGCATCCAAACCTTAGCAGTTCCACGAAATAAAACCAATCATTGCTCCCAAAGTAATCTAGAAGAGCACATCTCAGAAAGATTAAAGAACATCCAACAGCAAAGATATCATGGTCCGTTTTCAGGGTTCTATTCAAATCCAGGGTGAACCTGGGCTTGCAGGCTTTTGAGTCATGCTTAGGTGACGTCTGAGAGCACTTTCGGGAAGAGATGCATCCCCTTCACATTGTACAACACACTGTCACACACACTTCATTCAAATTTCTAGATAGCTCCTTTCTGCCCACATAAATGGTTCCTTGGGTCCCAGTGACTCTTTGATCCCACAACACCCAGACCCCGCCTCACCTCTTTTCTTTTCCGTTCTTCCTCCTTCCGTTTCTTCTCCTCTCTTATCTGGGCCAAGCGCTGCTTTTTGCGCTCCAACTCAGCTTTCAGGTCACTCTTGTCAGACATCTTTGCTGCCTTGGAGAAAAGGAGGGAGAGAAAGTGAGACTCTGTAAGTAATCTCGTTGTGTTGCCGTTGAAAATTGTTTCAAAAGGAGATGCAGCTTGCAAATGTGACTTGGGATAATAATAGGCTGTGTTATTTAGTCTGTGCTGAAGAAGAGAAAAGCTTAGGTTTGGTCTAACTCTATGTGATTCTTTTCCTATTATGTATCCATAAATAACTGAAGAAATTTTATGTTGTCATCCGGGTTGAAAAAGAATAGCAATTCACTTTTAGGGGAGCAACACGCTTTCCGTAGAAGTTTCTTCACAGATGAACAAAAGGAGAGAGTGGGGATCAGACAGGAACTATCAGAAAGACGGCTTCAAGTCTGATGCTAATGGAGCAAATTCATCTCCACACTGCACGAAGGAGCCCTAGCGTTTGCTCTACTCAGATGTCTATGGACTGGATAAACAATCCTCCGTGGCGTTCAGGAAAATTTCATTTTGCTTAACATGACATGCATCCTGAAATGCTAATTTTTCCTGTAAACTCCTCCCAACCGTCACACCTAATTTCATCTCCCAAATAACACTGTTATTATAAATGTCCATTTGCATACTGAATGCAATATTTCTTATTTTGGTACTGACCTTTCTCAAAGTAAAGTGTGTGGATGCACGCAGTAAAAGGAGCAAAGCCTGTGTTGAATGCCAGAAAACTCTGTCCACATAAGGTTCAATTTAATTTATCTTTTTATAAAATACTTATTTCATGTGTATGATTGTTTTGCCTTCACATACATGTGTGTACCACATCCATTTTTGAGTCTGCAGAGGACAAAATGAGTTGCAAGTGGTTATGAGCTGTGTGGGGGCTGGGACACGAACCTGGGTTCTCTGAAACATCAGCGAGTTCCCTAACTGCTAAGCTATCGCTGCAGCTCTGAAGTTGAACTTTAATATTGTCATGACAATGTTCATGATATTGGTACCAGAAGCATTTTCACAAGCAAGAGAACAGAGAAGACTGTTATAGTACCAATGACTCCACACCTTTCCATCTTTCTCCCTGGAATCCAGCAAGGCAGAAACCTGCAGAGCTGAAGGCTGTGAAGACACTGCATGATGGACCCTAAAGTCACACTTTCATGTACTCTGATCCACTACACACACCCAAGCCCCAAGTTTAAACTTAGAGCAATGCACACCAAAACAAACCAACCAACAAATAAATAATAAAGATCTGGAGCATAGACCAAAATGAGCATACTGGAGTTAGCAGAACTTGAACTGGATGTCCAAAAATATCAGGGAAACATTGGATGCGCAAAGATGTGGGAAAAGGAGAAGCCTGGAGGAGGATGGGTACAGGAGAAGCGAGGAATTCAGACAAGGAAATAGAAATTTCAATAGAAGTGTGTGTGTGTGTGTGTGTGTGTGTGTGTGTGTGTGTAGAAGCAATGACAAAGCCTGGGAGAAACAGAAAATGAGTTCCATTTGTGTAGTAACATAACAGCTTTCTGAAAGGGCAAGTGACAAACCGAAAGAGGAGTTTGCTCAAGCCTGTGTGACAATAGGAGCAGACACTAGAAATTAGGCTCCTGCTGGGAGACTGGTGCCAGCGTCATCTGCTGCACCTGCACTGGGGAGGAAGTGGAATCAGAGGCAGCGGTCCAGGCTGTGGCTTGCACAGCCAGGGAATGGAGCCCTTTATGGGGGCCTGAATAATATGTAATGAAAAGAGGAAAAATCTATACAACGATTTAGCTTTGAGAAAATAAAGAAGATGGCACAGATACTGGAAGGAGAAGACCAACATTGAAACATCAAATAAAAATTTGTTTAATTTGTGCACAACAGCCAACATTTTTTGAGCATGCTGGCATCTGGGTACCAGTGGACAGACAGATATCATAGTCACACAGCCGATCTGGGTACCAGTGAACACAGATCATAGTCACACAACCAATCTGGGTTCTAGTAGACAAAGATCATAGTCACACAGCCAATCTGGGTTCCAGTGGACAGAGATCATAGTCACGCAGCCGATCTGGGTTCCAGTGGACAGGGATCATAGGCACACAGCCGATCTGAGTGCCAGTGGGTAGAGACCATAGTCACAGAGCCGATCTGGGTTCCAGTGGACAGAGATCAGAGTCACATAGCCAATGCATCAAAATGGAGTCCAGGGGTAAAAGCTCTGTATAAAGCTGGAATCCCTTCATCTGTACAGGACATAAAGCCAAAGCCAGAAATCAATAGCCATGTAGGTAGTCAGAGAAGGAGAGCAGACAGGAGGTGCCCACCCAAGTGATACCTCCAACTGATAGCCCACACGGTGAAGCAAGGATCTAAACTTACAGTTTTTTATTATTACTCTTCCTTCCTTTGTTTGAAAAGTGACAGAATTAACAAAAGTGAAGTTTTTCAGTGACATATTGGTGGCTAACAACGTTCAACAGCAAAGTGCGGGATGCCTGGCAGAGAAAAGAAATGACACTACCTACAGAAGCTGTCTGAGAAGTTATCTCACTTAGCCAATGGGGTCTAATTCATTGTAATTGATGTGGCTGAAATCTTTCTTTGGTCAAAAGAATAATATATAAATATGAAAAGTCACTGCTCTGAGCGGTGGTTCTGCTGTTCTGAGCTGAAACAGACAGGAGAACTCTTAAAGCATACACATCTCCCCTTCTCCATTGCTCCCCAACTAGCTCCTATGTTCTCCCAGGCAAGATGGCCTAACACCACTTCAGCTACATAGTACCACCCTCTGGAACAGACTTCATTCTAGAGCATTCTATACGGTTGTGACCTTTTTTATAATTAACCTTCTTCTTGGAGAATTTCCTGTATACACACACACACACAAACACATGCACACACATGTACATATGTAAAAATGCTGATTACTCATACATACACACATATGTGCACACATGTACACACATAATACATGCTGACTACTCATATATACACACATGTACATATAATACATGCTGATCATACATTCATGCATATACACATATGCACACATATGTACATATGTAATATACACTATCTACTCATGTATACATACACACATGCATACACATGCACACATGATATATATGCTGACTACTCATGTATACATACACACATGTACATATATAATACATGCTGATTATACATTCATACACACATATGCACACACATGTACACATATAATACATGTTGATTATACATTCATACATACACTCATATGCACACACACGTACATATGTAATACATGCTGACCACTCATGTATACATACACACATATGCATACACATGTATATATGATGATTAATCATTCGCATCTCCCATCTTCTTTTATTTCTCGCCCACCCTATGTCGACAATCCTTCCCTCCTCCTGACAAATCTCTTTCTCACCTTCATGCCTTTTTCTTTGTTTTATGACCCAGTGGTTTTAACTAGGAGTGTCTCTGTGACCAAGACGTTAGAACTATCCACTGGTATCTGCTGGGATCACCAGTATGTACACAGCTCAAGACACTGACTGTCTCTCCCTTAGACTCCAGGAGTAACTAACAGCTCACCAGGGAGAGGGAGGATGCCCCAGGAGGTCATCCCCAGTCCGTGACTGACTATTGACAGGTTTGGTTTTATGGAGGCCACGACTGCTGCAAAGTTCAGTCACAAGAAGAATCAGCTTGTCTCCTCCGCAAGGTACAGGCTAAGGAGGCAGCAGGAGCAAGCAGGCAGTGGGTGTGTCTGATAACGCTAATTGCTAATGTTAACATCTAAGCCGTAGAAATAATATTATCCAGACAGCACAAAAGGCGTGGAAGAGATTTACAGAGTGCATTAAGCAGGCAAATTCAAAAGCCTCATTTTCTTTAACCATAGTGAAGCTGCACTGTGGAAAGACACAGCTCTAGAGGACCTGACTACTTATTGATTTTTTTTTTGACTCATTCTAAGCCTTAGCATTAACCCCCAGGGGAAGAAGAAATCTCAACGAAATAAAGGGTTTGAAAGGTACGGCTCTCACACAGAGTGCATGCCTTCCACAGTGCCTTAAACACAGCATCAGCACTGATCTCTGCAGGACCTCCCAGAGGCTGGTCAGTCCCACTTTCTAGCTCTCCTGCACATCAATGGAACAACCGCGCTTAGGAGGAGGCGCGAAACTTGAGGTGTGTGAGCCAAAGAGCCCATGGCAATCTGACATTCTCAGTTCAAAAAATACAAACCACACTAGGGCTGATCCTGTTGGGGAGGTGCAGGTAAGCCCTCCCTGAGGTCACAAGAGCAGGAGAGCTGACTCTGCCTCTCCCTTATATGCCATGTGGTGGCATGGGTAAGGGAAAGATGCCCCTCCCACCCCTTGCCACCTGCAGCAGTTGGGAGAGCTGGCCCTGCCCCTCACTAACTGCATCTTGCCTGAGCCTGGTGCTCTGGTGTGGTGAGCTGCTCCTGAGGGCACCACAGCAGAACTGGCCCTGCTCCTCGCTGTCTGGCACGGAGTGAGCTAGCTGGAACAGTGTTGAAGAGCTTGCCTGGGTGGTGACAGAAAGCTGGAGGGATGACCAACTCAACTACCACCCAAGCCTAGAGCTAGAGCTTAAGAGTTAGCCTACCCTAACACCCTCCTAAACTGTGAACTGTTAGAACATTCCATGGAGCTGGTCTGCAGACCCAAAGATGCAGGCAACAATGGGATATTCAAGAGGAGTCCCAGGGAGGGCCCAGGATCATTAGTGTGACAGAAGCCAGAGGTCTTGAACCAGACCACTGGCTCATTTCATGGACACTTACAAGGACTAAAGGGTATACTGTGCTCACCACAGCTACCACATCGAGATTCTTTTCTGGTTGTTTTTTGGTTTTACTTTCTTTTCTTTCTGGTTTTTTGAGACGGGGTTTTGGGGTTTTTCTGTGTGACAGTCCTAGCTGTCTTGGAACTAGCTCTTGTAGATGAGGCTGGCCTTGAACTCACAAAGATCTGCCTGCCTCTGCCTCCTGAGTGCTGGGATTAAAGATGTGT